AAAAGCAAAATGTGAATTCACATTTTGGGAAAAAGGAAAATGTGAATTCACATTTTGGAATTTTGTGTAGGAATCTTTATGAAGGCGCCAGAATGTGAATTCACATTTTGGGAAAAAGGAAAATGTGAATTCACATTTTGGGAGAAAGGAAAATGTGAATTCACATTTTTGGAGAATCGCGGGGCCCATTTCAAATCTGTCTTGGGGGTCGAGAAGTCATCGTTTGGGAACATACGCGATCATCAACCGCACAATCAAGACACAATTGCACTCCACTTCGCCGACCCACGCGCAATATGCAAGAACGCCCGCACGCATGAACGAAAATGGATGGACGGCGCGCGTGCCCGCGCGGGCAACGCGCGGGCACGAATGACTGGCCACCAATGACCGCCAGCATTGGATGCCAATCGTACCCGATCACATACATGAGCGATACATTGAGCATACATGGGCCATTCAGCCCCCATTGAAGACCCCCTGTTGCAGACCCCCTCTTTCACCCTCCAACAGAGAGCCCCTTCAATGCCCTGCGCCGGCGCGCCAGGCACGCCCCCGCCCGCGTCGAAGCGGTCGGCGGCCGACCTCCCCGAGGAGGTCGCGACGGGCCCGCCCGCCCAGACAGCGGAAAGTTTGGCGCGCAGCCGTGTTCCGCGCGGCGCCAGCGCAACCTCGGCAGCCGACCTCCGGCGCGCGAAGAATCCCCCGTGTCGCGCGGGCTCGAAGATTCCGGGGGCCGTCTGGCAGACGCGGCCTGCCTGGTGGCTTGTGGTCGGCGATGGCCCCCGTTGCTGGGGCCCTCGCTGACCGCTGCGATCGGAGCCTGGAGTTGCGCGCGGCGCATCGCCCGCGCGCGACGGGCCCATCGAGCGCCGTCTGCCGCGCGCCCGCCAGCGGGGCGCGCGGGCATCGGCCTGGACGCAGCGGAGCAGCACCCCAGCTGCCGCGCAGCGCTTGCGCGCGCCGCGCAGACGCAGACTAGGGGCGCCGACGTTGCCCTCCCGGGCTGGCTGACTGAAGGGGCGCCGATGGGAATCAAGTGGGTTGCAGAGCCTGGGGGGTCGTTCCCCTCGGCCGTCTCCGAGGCATCTCTGGGCGTGGAGGACCTGCTCGACCGCGCGGAGCTCGCGAACCACCCGCCCTTCCTCGACCTCCAAGGCCGCGACAGGCCGCCCGGCGCCGAGCAGGCGCAGCTGTTCGTGGATCAGGGCTTCGGGGTCCTCCTCACCAACCAGGCCGCGGCCGAAGAGCATAATTTCGTCGCCCACGTTCCGGCGCCGCTTGGCAACGTCGCCAGGGCGAAGCCGGGCGGCAGGACGAAGCGCCGCATCATCCAGGGCTTGACAGTCTCGGCGACCGAGGCGGCGGTGCTCACCGAGCGCCAGGCGTTGCCCGCGCCCCTCGACCACGCCACCGACCTGGCGACGCCCTCCTTACAGGCCGCCCGCGGGTGGGAAGTCGTCTGAGCGCTCGCGCTAGACTTCGCGGACGCATTCATGTCGGCGCCGCTCCGCGCCGACGCGCAGCGCTTGAACTGCTCCCGATTTGGCAGGAGGCCCCGCAGAACTGGCTGGCTGTTTACCCGCAGGATCGAAACCGCCTACGGCGATTTCGTAGCGCGGCGCGTCTTGGGTTCTGGCGGCGCACCCAACCCCGCCGCATTCGGCTATTTCGCGGCGCGCACGGCGCAGGCGTTCGTGCGTCCGTTCGCGCGGTCGATTGCCGGGCGCGCCCGCGCGGCATCACGAAGCCGTCGCGGGCGCCCCGGCGACGGCCGAAGCGGCCGCGCAGTTCGCGCTAGCGCGACTTCGCCGCGCAGTCGCCCGGGGAAGTCTGCGTCGCCAAGCCCGCGGGTGTCTTGGCGGACGTCCACGAGGTACTCGCCCCCTTCGCGGCGGGCCCATGCAGGGCACGCCCCCCCTGGCGGCGGCCCGCCGCACTGCGGGCGCATGCGCCCGGGTGGCGCGCGTCGCCCCGGGTGTATCCCCATGTGCCGCGGCGCTATGGGGGCCCTCGCACGCGCCGAGTTGGTTGGCCGCGAGGCGCCGCCGGGCCGCGTTGCGCCCAGCAGGTTCGCCACCGCCGCGCGGTAGACGCGGGCACCGGCACGCCCAGAGGGCCTCGACCCCCCCGTCCTGGGGGATCGCGCGGGCCAGGGGCGGCGGGGCGGCCACGTGGTCGGCGGGGGCGCGCGGAGATCGGGGCCCCCAAGTGCCAGACATTTCGGGCGCACCTCGCCGCGCTCCGCGCGGGGCGAATGCAGACCAGGCGGGGGCCGTCGCGGTCGCCAGCGACAACGCGCCCGCCTTTGAAGGGGCATTCAACCTGCGGGCCAAGGGCATCCGCAACCACGTCACCCGCGAGCGTGCTTGGAGGCGGACACGGCGGCGCAGGCTCCACGTCGTGGCTCACTTGCCAGCTGAGCACAATCTCACCGCGGACGCGCTTTCCCGCCTGGCGGCGCCGGAGCCCGCGGCTTTCCCCCGACGAGCTCGCGCACTCGAGGGAGGCGGGCGCGCTGGCCATCGCGGAACTCTTCTCCGCTCGAGCGGCGTTCGCTGCCGCAACCGCCCACCCTCCCTGCATTGGCAATATTGCTATCATTGTGGGCGCGGGCGGTCTCCGCAACGCGGCTGGAGCACCCCGCTCGCTGCGCGCGTCGCTGACGGCATTCGTAAAAACAGTATCCGCGCAAGTGTTGGGCGGGTGGCGGCATCGTTGCTTGGGTAGGTTTGGCGTGAGTTTGCCGCCCTTTCCTGTGGGCGACCGGGTTCACGGGCTCGGCTTCCAAGTTCCATCGCTTTTCGTATGGGCGGTAAGTTGTAAATTGTTGCGTTTAGGTTCCAGTGGCCTAAGCAGTACAGACAGACCAGACAGCATAAGAGGAGAAGCTATACGGCACAAAAGAAATTATCCCAGTGCGACCTTACCTAGGAGTTGGAGACGCCGTCCTCCTCCTCATCGTCGTAGTTGTAGCAGTAGCGGTTGTAGTGTTGCTGTGCTGCGCTATACTATGCTGCGATGTGCTATGTTATGTTGCTATGGTTTGCTATGCTAGGGTATGTTATGCGATGCTGCGCAATGCTATGTTGGGCTAGGCTAGGCTATGCTATGCTGTGCTAGGGAATGCTAGGCTGCGTTGTATTATGCTAGGTTATTCTATGATGTGATATGCTGCGATATGCTATGATATGCTATGCTGCGCTATGCTATGCTATGTTATGCGATGTTGCGCTATGCTCTGATCGGCTAGGCGATGCTATGATATGTGATGTTGCGCTATGTTATGCTGTGCTATGCGATGCTGCGCGATGCTATGATATGATATGATATGTTATGTTGCGTTATGATATGATATGCAATGGTATACTGCGCTATGATATGCTATGGTATGCTGCGTTGTGGTATGCCAAGCTGAGCGATGCTATGACATGATATGCTTCGCTATGTTATGGTATGCTATGTTGCGCTACGCATGCTGCGTTATGCTCTGATATGCTATGTTATGCTACGCTATAATGTGCTAATGCTGCGCTAAGTTAAGCTAAGATGCGCTAAGCTAGGCTAGGCTAGGCTAAGCTACGCTAGGCTAGGCTAAGTTCAGCTAAGCCAGGCTAGGCTAAGCTAAGCCAAGCTAAGCTAAGCTAAACTGAAGTAAGTGAAGCTAAGATGAGATCAGCAACGCTAAGCTAAGGGGACGTAACTGGGGGAACCGCGGGGCGGATGCCGGGGGAACCGCCCGGGCCAGTTCCCACTGCCCGGCCCTTTTAAGCTACGACAGTAAGAACTCTTTTAGGCAGAGCCCAGGCAGGGAAATAGAGAAGAAAGAACAGATAGGGCACCTTGACAGAGTAGAGAGATCGTGAGAAATAGTAGTTATGTAGTGCACGAACATACGTATATATGTATGAATACACGAACAAAGTAAAAGGAAGCGAGGGGGATGTCCCGGATGAGGAGGAGGAGGAGAAGGTCCAGGGTAAAGCCAAGACTCATCAACGGCATTGCAATACACCATCCCTCCAAGCTCCCCCCTCATAGACCCCTACAAGGGTTCATTTTCATTGAGGGAAGTTCTCCGTTGGAAGACACATGTTTTAAGATCCAGGACTATGTCAGAACACCAGATCTGGAACTCCACCGCCCCGAATCACCGTTACTGTTGCGTTTTGACGATCCTGAATCCCTACAGAACGCCGTTCCTGGGACGTCAACACCGCGAATCCACGTGACTGTTGAGCCCTGATATTCCGACAACGTGCCAAAACGCCGTTTCTAGGAGGTTAACCACGAGAGTTTCCGAGACGGTTGCAAAAGTTGAAGACGAATGTGCGCGGCGCTGGGGCAAAAAACAACAGTTTGGAAAGGAATTCTCCATCCACCCGTGAAAGTCTTGCACATGTTTAAACGAATATGCATGGCGCTGAGATCAGAGCCACATAATGAAGACGGACCGCCATCCATCCGCGAAAATATTACAACGTTATATATATATATATGGTATTCTATATATATATATATATATATATATATATATATATATATATAGTGCGCGTTGCGAAGCAGTGCGAAGGCCAGATCCGCATTTTGAAAACGGCCCGCCCTCGATCCGTCAAACCCTTGCATACTGTTTGGATGAATGTGCGAATGCGAGACCCAACATCTTGTCAGCGACCCGCTATCCGTACAGGTGTGCGCGGCTCTGAGGCGAGAGCCACATTTTGAAACCCACCCGCCCTCCATCCGTGAAGTTGCTGCAACCGAAGCGTCATGATCGTAAATGGTGAAAAGGTCTCAGGCGCCTGGCCCGCCCTTTCGACTGGCCTCGGGGTGCGACAGGGGGGAGCTAAGTATCTATTCGGAAAAAGGGGGACTGAGACTGAGGACCATGGGGAGGATGGAGGAGGGAGGATAAGTAGCAGCAGCAGCAGCAGGAGGATGAAGAGGAGGAGGAGGAGCAAGCGTGTGGTGCCGCTGTCCTGGCAGCGCCGCCGCCAGAGGACAAGCCTACCGTGCCGGTGCAGCAGGCGGACAAGCCTACTGTGCCGGTGCAACAGGTGGACAAGCCCACCGTGCAGGCGGCTCCGTGTCCGCCGTCTCGTCCTCCTCCGTCTTTTTTCCCTCGTCCACCGTCTCCTTTGCTGATGCTTTCCACCCCTCCGCAACTGGCTTGTTCGGCGACGTTGGAGGAGAGGAGCAGAACAAAACACCTCCCCCCCGCAGGAGGCGCCTCTTCGACGAGGAAGGCCCTCCTCGACGACGACAACGACGACGACGACGACGACGACGACGACGACGACGCCCCCGCTGGCAGGCGACTGCGCCCGCCGCGGCCCGCGGCCTGCGCCTCGGGACCTCGAAGGGCGCCGGCGCCGCCGGCGCCGGCGCGTTCGACTGCTCCGAGGGGCGCCGCCGCCGCCAGCGCCGTCGGCACTGCGGCCGCCGCAGCCGCAGCCGCCGCCGCCGCCGCCGGCCGAGCCCCGATGCTCGAAGGAGAAAGAGCGGCAGAGACAGAAGCGTTTGGCGCTCCGCGCGGATGTCTCGGATCCGCGCTGAGGCCCACCGGGCGGCGCCTCTTGCGCCACCCCTGGCGCGCTCCGCGCGCCAGGGAGGTGGGTCCAGCGCAGGTCCAAGAAATCCGCGCGGAGCGACATAAGTTTGCGTTTATGGCGTTTTTTCTCCTCCTAATTTCGGGGCTCAAGAGACGGGGGTCAGTGCAAACCGGGATCAGTCAGAGCGCCGGATTTTGCAGGATCCTGCAGGGCCAGGGTCGCACTGGACGGGCTGGGGTGCAGGATCCTGCAGGATCTTCCAGAATCCTGCAACGCCCGATTGACCCGGGTCTGGATTGATCTGGGTCAGTAGATCCCCGACCGTTGTTCTCAAGGGAGAGGTAGGTGGACAGGCATCAATAGATGTCTACTCAGAGAAAAAATTGAACATATGGGAAAGGGAGGGAAGACGAGAGTCTAGAACATGTGGGAAAATTGAATCCTCGGATTTGAGTCTAAGTGTTTGTGTGTGTGTGTCCCTGGGCCCCTTGCTCTTTGTTAGGTGGCCGAGTTTAATTGCCCCAGAGCGTTCCAGAACGCTCTCAAAACGTTCCGAAGAGCGATTTGGAGCGGCCTTTGGCGCCCGACACATCCTCCCTATAGCCGCCAGATCTCAGAGATCCCCGATTTGTCCTGGTCCGACTTTGTCCCGGGCTTGGTTCCGTATTCGTTTGGGCGACGTTGAACCTCCTCGAAGGCCCTCGCCGCCACGGCTGGATTCTGTCAGAGATGCTGGCGTGAACGCGCCCCGGGAATGGTCGGGGCAGCAGCAGCAGCAGCAGTTGGGGGAGCCGTTGCCGGAGCCAGCGCCGGCGGCGCCGCCGCCGTCGCCGTCGTGCTCCGGTCTCCCCCTCCCTGCTGTCTTGTTCCTCTTCCCCGCTGTCTTGCTCGCGCACGCCTGGCAAAGCGGAGTCTTGCTTTTGCTGTCGGGCCAGAAGCAATTGGAAATTGGGCAGCCGAGCTAATTAATCCGAGACGCAGTCCTGGGCGGCTCGTCGAGGAGCGTCTAGCCACGGCGGCGAGGGTAACAGCAGGTTCCGTTGGAGGAGGAGCAGGAGGAGGAGGAGGAGGAAAAAGGGGACAAGAAACCTAATGTATATGAGCAGGGGCAGGCCCAGGGCAGGAGGAGGAGCGAGCTGCAAGGCGGGAAGAGCAGCAGCAGGGAGGCAGAAGAGAAGGACGATCTGGAGTAGGCGTGGTCGGAGGTGGAGGGTCAGGGAGAGGAGGCTCTGGGGTCCCAAACGGAGCGAGAATCGAAGAAGAAACAACACCATTGGGCCATAAACATAAACTTTTGGCGCTCCCAGCGGGTTTCTTGGATCCGCGCTGGGGCCCCCCCCAGCGGCGCCTCCGGCGCCGCCACTGGCGCGCTCCGCGCGCCAGGGAGGGGTCCAGCGCAGATCCAAGAAATCCGCGCGGAGCGCCAAAAGCAGCTGTGCAGGCCGTGTTTTCCTCTTCCAGAGAGTGCCCGTCGCATTCGTTCCAGAGGAGACGGGGAAGGAGGCGTGAGAGCAACATCAGAGGGAGCGCCGCTGTTTGACCCGGAGGGCCACGGGGTTGGTCGGATCTCCGCACGGTCCGCCGTCCCTGGAGTTTGTTCCCTTCTCCTACCCATCATCCTGGATGCCTTCCCCTCCCCCTCCTGTCCAAAGGGGGGGGGGTATCAGAGAGAGCTCCGCGGGTTGACCCGGAGGGCCACGGGGTTAGTTGGACCCTCCTCCTGGTCCGCCGCCCCCGGACCCTTTCGCTGTTACGATCCATCATCCTCCGCCTGTTTTCCGAAGGGGTGGAGTTAACCCCCATTGCCCCCCATCCCCCCTTTCGAGCCCAAATGAGAGCACCCCTCTTCCCTGTCGAGGCGCCCCCCTGGTCTTTCATTAACGCACCCCGACGCTAACACCCTAACCCCAATCAACAGTTGGTCCCGCAAACCCTACCCTAACGCGCT